GTGTGCGTGTGTGTGTGTGTGTGTGTCGTTGTGGTGGTGGTGGTGGTGGTGGTGGGCGTGTGTGTGTCTGTGTGTGTGTGTTGTGTGTTGTGTGTGTGTGTGTGTGTGTGTGTTTTTGTGTGTGCTTTTGTGTGTGTGTGTGTGGGTGGGGGTGGGGGTGGGTGCGTGTGCTTGTGCGTGCGCGTGCGCGTGGGCGTGGGTGTGTGTGTGTGTGTGTTTGCGTTTGTTTGCGTTTGTGCTTGTGTTTGTGTTTCTTCACGCGCGCGTGCACGCATATGGGGTCGGAGAAGAATTGCAATTGATGGCTGTTGACAGGAATCAATGAAGAATAAACCCCCTAAGCAAGGTCGTGTTCCAACCTCGTCGGTAAATGTAACATACCAAACATGCTTCTCGAACATCTCCTCCAAAGCTCTGCCTTAGCCGCCAAGAACACATGCTGCTCTCTGCCCAGCGCCCATGAGCTGTTCGCAACTACCTTCGCCGATGATCCATCGCTCTTCATTCTCAAGTCTTCATGCTGTAGCACAGGTGCTCCAACAGCCTGCTTCTAATATGCAGGTTGCACAAGGATTTTACAGCTTTCATGAAGGAAAGCTCCAGCAGTCCGACCAGTTGCATACCTCCAGACTCCCCTTCTGTTTCTCGAGAGGAGCTCACATGTTCTTACTGCGATTCGCCGGTATGACTCTACCTGAACCTTCTTCACAACACACCAAGTGACGTTGTGGCGAGGGCCGTGAAGGTGAATGCCACGAGCAATGCGCTACACAACGGCCTACACAAAAAGAGACGTCGGCTTCTTGTGCTGGTGGCTGACTTGTCCGGTCTGCAGCTGGCCCTCCGAACATGTGTTGCAGCTCGGGGGCGCCGCTCGCTTTCGCCTTCGTCCTGGCAAGATACAGCTGCTGGCTGGATGCCAAGCCTTTAGCGGAAACAAGTGCCATCACGCCAGATTTCAACCGCAAACCGTGCGCTCCGACTCCAAAACTATTGGAGCTTGCAGCCGATCGGGGCCTCTTGTACTGCCTGGAGCTCCGGCACTGTCTCCTCAAAGCGGATGCGTCCTGTCGGAGAGCACGATGTTGACTTCAGGATGCGCAGCTTTCAGACTGGTGTAGTGTCCTGGTACCATGCGTCATCCAAACTTGAATTCGCATTAACAGTAGTGCCAACATCTATACACAAGAATCCAGAGCATCCTAAGTGGCATTGGGTGTGGTGCCCTCCCGACCTCCAGCTGTGCTCCCCTAAACTCCACGGTCGGGGAGCTGTAGCACATAGTACTGTAGCAATACCATACAGTAGAGCAGTAGTGACTTAGTGCACAGCAGCAGCTCAGTAGTAGTACAGTGGGCAAGTCGTGCAGTCGTAGTACGGCAGAATCACAGTACTGCAACAGGCCTATATTACAATCCTGCGAGCATGATCGCCTTACAGACACAATGATCGACTGTCGAGCTCCGGCACTGCGGTGAGAGCCTTGAGTGCGCGAGGTGTTGGTCGTTGCACCTTGAGAAACGGTTTTGCAAGCCAACATCGCAATGGGGCGGGCACGACATGGACGTGAAGCGGCCATGATAGCAGCAAAGCTTGCAACTGCATGCAACTGCGGCTTGGAGACTGACAATCGACGCCGTTTCGTCTGCTTCGCTGGGCGGCGGCACAGGTGCAGGAGCTGGCTGTGGCTCAGGATCTTCGGAACGCTCCTCAACCGTCTGGCTCATATCCACAATGTGCTCAGCCTCCAGAAGACCTGAGCACCAAAAACACTGCGCTCCATTGACCACGTGCATCTCCTGCCGGAGACGAACACCAAATCGGTGTCCAAGCCATCCACCCAAAAAGGCCGCGTGTCCAAAACACTGCAGGATTGCATGCTGAATACGACCTCCCTGCAAGACCTACCGAACCTTCATGCCAAGCAAGCATCCCACCCCAACTATCACTATGTATATAACGCCGTGAAAACAGTCAACCCCTGGGCTGCGCGCTAAGAAGGTGCTCTTGCTTGACCTTCTCCACGTCCTTGGCCAATGATCCCTCCTTGGCCTGGCTCTTTACAAAAAGCGCATGCAATCGCATGAAACAAACGTTTACGAGGATTTTTCCACTGGCGAGTGGAAACCTCTGTCAAGTTACCAGTAGAGATGTCAGGCCTCATGCAAGCGTGCCGAGCTTGACCATGTGCGAGCGGCAAACATCCCTCGCCAGGCCTGCTTGGCTTTTTTCTTCTGCTGCTTCCGCTCGCTTTGCCTCGGGCATCCAAAATTGCCTACAGCCCGCACCCCGAAGACAATCACTCTAACTCATCTGCCGAGGCCCTACCCCGAGCACGTAACCCACATATCCAGACCCCTCACTTCTGCCGGAACATATCGGAACCATAAAGCCACAAACGAATCAATGGCCCCTCCTGTGCTCCAGCCTGGAAATTGCAGGCTGGTTGGCTGTGGCTTGCTGGGGTACAGCTGGCCAACCTGCCAGAAAGCCAGCAAAAGCATGGCCCTACTAACCCACACACAGGCCCAACGAGATGAAGGCGAAGCTTGCGCACATGTGCACGAACATTCACACAGACACACGGAGAGGTTCCCCACATAGTACTGCATGGAGGGATGAGCCTTGCTGGCGGGCTGGACCCAGGCAACCACGTGAAGGCATCGCAGTCTCGGCCGCGGCCGCTTCTGCTGCTGCTTCAGTCGGGATGTGTCGATTCCTTGATTGTCAAATATTGTCAACCTTTCCGTTAGAGGCAGTGTGTTGAGAAATTCTTTGCGCTTCTCACAAATACCGGACAAAATATATTCTTAGAAGCAGCCAAGATTCCATCGATTTCTGCCTTGAAGCTCAAAGCAGTGGGCATTAGAAGATCTCAAGATCCAAACTAAACCGGCCAATTACATGACAACCCGATGCAGCTACTGCAGTTCACTGCCCTCTGCAGGTCGGGCAGCATGCTATTTTAAGCGAGTGGCGCGGGACGCCAGGATTCACGGCAACTTCCTTGGATGTATCTGGAACCACTGCGCAGCTGTAGTTGTCGAAGAAGGAGCACAAGGGACCACTCGCAACCACAACATGCAAAGCCGGAAACGCATTTTGACGAGTATCCTCCGGTCCGGGCTGCGAGCCAAAGCTCAGGCCAGTCGAGGCCCCACCTGCAGGCTCCGAAGAATTCATCCAGTTCAAGCTATATCTCTCGTGTCAGGTCTCCTAGCAGAAAAATTCATCAAGCCGCCCTGAAGCTTCCAACGGCAACAAACTATCCCAGCTGAAGCCAAAAACATGGCGGAACCCAAATGAGCCGTGGTGCTGCTGACAGAGTCTGGGAAGACGATGGCGGGGCTCGGGGAGCGATGTGACATGTGCCGAACCTCCTGAGTCGAGAGTCTTTACATCAGCCGAAAGACCCGAAGCTGGATTCTGCACCTCACAACTTGTGTTGTGCACCCAGGCAGGCCACACATGTCGCGAAACCACGGGGCCAAGCGACTCGTTGTAGAGGCTCGCACGGCACAAAATCGCCAATCGTCAGCCTGCGCTTATGTCTGCTGGACTCTAGGTAAGCCACACGGCACAATAGAGAACATCTACGAACATCTAGCATCTCCAACTTCTGAAATACTTCGTTCGACTGCACTCGATGTTGACAGGAAGTGAATGGTGCAACGAACACCAGCATGTAAGGCCGGGCAAGCACTGAATTCCTAAAGTTGCTTGAAACATGCGCAGATCCTGAATCAAGTCACAAAGCTATTGTCACTAGTATCACAGTATCACCAGTAAGAGCGGCTGGGGTCGAGCGACACGTGCCGGGCCTCTGCTGGCGATGCTTGTACAAGTCCTGTCAGCTTGTTACAGCGTGACAGCACGGGGAGGGGATCTGGGACTTTGCTGATTCTCATCTCGGCTTCGACAGTTACCAGCCTGACCTCGTTGCCCACCATCTGGGTCCAGTCGACAGCTCCAGTTTGACGGGCGAAGAGCTGTTCCTTCAGCATGCGGAGCCGCTGAGTGTAGAGCAAACATGCAGGAAGGCATACGGATTAAGAAATCCAACGGTTTAGAACCGAAGTCAAGGAAGGCAATCCATGCGAGAATCAGCACGCCTGACAGGCCTACAATCCTGCGATTGTTCAAGCACCTCCAGGCTTTGTTGTATACTCTCTGAGCGCGGGCAAACCATACCTGAGCTACCTGGCCTTTGCCTGATCCTTTTCAGCCGCTGCCAAGGGTCGGCCAGAAACGGATCCGGCCGGGACGGGCTCCGCCTCCGGCTGGCGCTGCGCGAACGCAGCCAAGGCGGTGCCTGCGAGCCAACAAAAGGACTTCTCATGTGGCGGCGTGGCGCGGCACGCCTGGTGCCAAATTGTTCTCGGGCAACGGCGGATACCATCGCTCAAGAACAACATGCAGGAAATTTCCGTGCCGAAAGCCTGTGCCATTTGCATGGCGGCACTCAGCACAATCAAAACTGACCACTGGGTCGCCTCGTAGCTGCGGCTTCGACCGCGGCTGTGGCCCCGCGACCTAGGTGTCAGGTGCTCGACCAGCGTTGCTGTGCTTCTGCAGCAGTAGATGAGGGATTCACTTCACTAGTTTTCACGAATGTTGGCGAGGCGTGTGTCTTTGTTGTTGTGAGTGGGTGTATATATATATATATATGCAACGGGTTCACACAGTTTTCATACTAAATATGCAGGAGACCGAGGAGAACAATGTGTGAAGACTCATTTGCTTTACCTGCTCCTGGGCCCGGGCGACGTAGAGAAGGCAGCATGACAAACAACCAGGCTTTCAGCAACTTTGAGTCCTTTGCCCAGGTGCAATGCCCGCTGGCCGCCTGTCGCATGACGCTGGAGTCGACTGCGCGCGCGCGTTCCAGGATCATCGACTTGCCCTGAACATGATACGCGGCTTTCAAGACTGGCTCAAGAGCTGGGAGACGGCCCAGCAAGCCGATTCTGAGCAGTGGCAGTGGACGACGGGATCGGAGTGTAAAGTTCTGAATGCTATGGCAACTTAGTTCAATCCTGGTCTAGTAGGCACATCCTTTCTGCACGACAGAGGCTGGGGGATCCTTATGACTACCAATATGAGATATGATGATGCTCGAATGATCCAGGGTATGCACGACATACAGGTCCTGCACACCACCTCAGCCAAGTTGAGATTATTGACCATCGCCACGCCAAGGCGGAGGCTGGGGTCGGCGGCACCCGAACCGCTGGCCCTTTCGGGACCACGCTAAGCCGTGGACTTCCACTGTATGGCAATTCGCAAGATGTTCCCGCTGAAATGCTTTTGCGCCTCTCAAATTTGAGTACCTTTCAATACCTGCGTACTCAAAAAGCTGTGGCTCGCGGTCAGTGCTGCGAGCAATCTCACACAAGTGCAATTGCAGCACACTACAGTGCAATCACTCCAAAAATGGTTGGATAAGAAATGCAGGGGCTACCTGCTACCTCAGCCGGATAGCGCCAAAACACCGAATATCTGAAATGCATTCTAGCAAAGGGGAGTGGGGGGATCCCGAGACCGGCCACAGGCCCAATCTAAACTGCACTTTTTATAAGCAGCCATGGAGGGTGAGTTGTCTTGCCAGGCCCTTGAAGCCACAAGTATTGTAGTGTGCGGCTAAGTGCTGGCAGCTGCATCTAAACACGAAAGTTGTAGTAGAACACTGTCCTGGCGGAGCTGTCTAGCCTAATGGAAAAAGTCTGTGGCTCAGTACCTAGACTTCCATGGGCTCAAACCCGGCTAAGAAATGAGCAAGACATGAAGGGTACCCAGAGCTGGGACATGTGGAAATCTGGAACTAAAAGGAAGTTAAGAAACGAAGGGTAGCCAACACTGGGAGCTGGAATTTCTTACCCAGAAGATGCACTGTAGGTTGTCGTCTTTCCCTCCGGCGCAAGTGGGACACAGGAGGTGATTTTTCGGTCAGACGTGCGGCATCGGCCGCCACTCTTTGCCGATATTGTCTTCATTGGAAAAGCAATGAAAAGTAGACAGGACTATAGCCTATAGCTCTAAGACTGTGGCGCACGTGACTTTGATCTTCGGTGCGGGCATGTAACACAGCTGGAGAACTGCGCGTGACCTTTCCGACTGGCGGCCACTACGCAACGGACCGCCTTGTTTATCTACGACTGATCAGTCAGATTGCGGGTTGACAAACAGCAGTGCTGGCATGCTAGTGGCGGCCTTGGAACTGGTATGGGGCCTCCTCGTAGCAGGCTCATGCTGATGCTCTGTTAACCTAGCCGCTAGCCGGGTCTCGTGGCACGCTGGATTCTTCCAAGGTTCTTCCCTCGCCGTCACCTTCATAACTGTCATGGCCTTGATCCTAGGAACTGCTGACTGAGTTTTTGGCCACAGTCTCCACACCTTAATGGCCCAAACCCATCAACGTGGCTCAGGATTGGGTCTGCAGAAAAAACAGGTCAAGTACATCCTCATGGCTTCTCGCCTATAGAGTACAGAATCGGAGCCGTCAGTCCTTACCTGCAAGACCGAGTAATCAATTAGGGCGAAATCCGCAACATGACTGGGGTGGAGAGCCAGTCACCATCGAGAGCACTGAAAATGAACCAAGCATTGGGCCTGCTCGTGGAACAGCTTGTGTCGCTGGCCCCGGCAAAGGCCCGCTAAGAGCGCTGCGGAACCTATGATGAAAGGATTTCCTTGTGGAAAGGATGGTCAGGATACCAACCACGGGATGCCACCGTGGCTATGGGCGATTGTCCGGTCTGTCTCTGGATTTTCTGTCCAAGGTGTATCACAACTCGTTTGAAAATATGCAGAAGTCTCCAGGCGAGCGTTCCAGACCTGCTCTGGCAACGGAACAGCTCGAAAGTTTAAGGCTAAGGGACCTTCGGCCGTCATGATCGCACAGCCGAACAGTAAAAGTCAGTCTCGTACTCTGGGCGAACACTTTATGATGCAGCGAAGGCTCTGCGCAAAGGCGGCGTCCATCGCAAATACCAGGTGTGCCCATGCTACAACTGAAGCATCGACAGTCTTCAATGAGCTTAGTATGAGTGGGGTTTAGGGATTTCTGGAACAGGCACAAAGCATCAACATGGGGCGAGTCTGTTGAGCACATTCCGAAGTGTCGGCTTGTCTGGCTCCATGCTCGCGGTTTCAAAGGCATCTTTGTGGTCTTCCCGTGACACCCTGAAGCAAAATTAAGAAGCCGCAGGCCAAGTAACTAAGTAAGCTGCCCGCAAGTATGTCTCACAGACATGTAAACAAACAAAGAATCAACCACACAACCGTGTGAGCGCCAAGACCACACGCGTATAGAGCAGCCTTTGGGAAACGGCTGCTTCTGCCCCCTGCATCGGCAGAGCCAGGTAGAGCAGCTGTGCAAGGCTCGAAATCTCCACACAAAAACATTTAACTTTCGCGATTTCCGAGTCCCACCTCCTACTGGCAATTCCCGAGCCTCTGCAGAGGCAGTTCGACCAACTTCTGCTTCAGCGACCCAAGGCCATCTTCTCAAAAGATAGCCGATCAGTGCCCCACTTCTAGTGATTCTAGTGCGCTCTGACATGAAGATGGAGGCTTAGCCTGCGTAAATGTGCAGCATCTTTTGTCTTCGCGAACTCACCGGTCCGTGGCCAGATGTCCTTCATGCGCAATGCCTCAGACGCGTCGGACTCATGTAGCAGTCGGAATTTAGTGCGGTGTCAAGGTACCAGCTTAGGCACTGAATATACTCGAGGTACCTGAAAAACATGATTAATTTCAAACCCCATTTCGGAACAGAAGATTTCGTGGAATTACCATCGCGGGAAAACTCATCATGGTCCCAATCTTTCCCATGGGTAAGTTCGATCGTTTCTGAATACAGTACCGTCCAAGTGTCATGGTGCTTTCCTTAGACGACTTTTCTGTCGCTTTTCCTGCTGAAAGCACTCGCGAGAGCAACGTACATAAGATCGAGAAGCCTGCGAAACCTAATTCTGAGACGGTGCATTAACACTGAGATTGCAAGATGCTCTTGGGGTTGTTCGAATCGAACAAACGGAAGCCGAAGTTGCTACATCTATGAAAGTTGTCGGGAAGACTTCAGGTGGAACGGCTGAGGAGAGCCGCGAATGTTGAGTCAAAGGTTCATAGCAGCGGATTAGCACATGGATTGCCAAGCTTTGTCTCGTTGGTTCGGGAGCTATCCAAGCTCGAAAAGAACAACTGGTGTGCTGCCAGCTCGCTGGCAGGACAGCCCACAGCTCCGGTACTGCGGTTGCATGCCGTCGACACGGCCGCCTCAAGCAATGGCAGAACAACTGAACAGCTGAACGACAACAACGAAGACAGGGACGACAGATAACTACGACAACCAGCAGCAGCCAGCAGCAGCAGCAGCAGCAGCAGCAGCCCAGCCCCACCACCACCACCTCCACCACCAAGAACAACAGCACCAACACCAATGCCAACACCAACACAAACGCCAACACCAGCACCACCGACAACAACGACAACGACAACGACAACGACAACGACAACGACAACGACAACGACAACGACAACACCAGCACCAGCACCAGCACCAGCACCAGCACCAGCACCAGCACCAGCACCAGCACCAGCACCAGCACCAGCACCAGCACCAGCACCAGCACCAGCACCAGCACCAGCACAACAACCATCACCATCACCACCACCACCACCACCACCACCACCACCACCACAACCACAACAACAACCACGACAACCACAACATTCATTCACACGCAGCGGGAGAAGTTGTCCTTGCGTGAAAATAAGTCCTCGCTTTGCGAGTACAACCAATTTGCAATTGAACGCTGCGCGAGCATGCTCTGCGCTTGGCGGGCGTATTGCCTGACCTGGCACTCATGTGAAACGGAAATAAGCTGACTCTGCTCGAAAGACTGATGACAGATTTGCATGACGTACATCGAAAAGCGGAGCTACAGGTCCTTTCTGAGACAAAAGCTGGATAGCTGCGTACCGAGGTGAGAAGTGTATACAACCCCCGACACCCTCAGTGTGAGCCAACGCGTCCGATGCTCACGAACCTAAGATTGTTGGGTCGTACTGGAGGCAGTGTGCTGCTCCTAGCCGGCTCCCCGAGTGCCAGTCTAGTGGCGTCCCACACTTGGTCACTCACAATCGAAGGCGATGGGCCGTAGAGGAAGACTCTGATGAGGCAATGCCTAAGAGCCAGTTAGATTGCCGTGTATGCAGTCGAGAAAGTGCATGATCTGTATCTGCCGAGTACACCTATCATCTTATCACCGTATGCCTGGATTCCACCGTGCTGCACGAGGATGCCGAGCAGTGTTAGTACCTCTCAAGCCACGCAACTGGATGAAAAGCAAAGTCTTCTGCCCTATGGCTGCAGCTGCTATGGCACAGGCAGTGTTTTGTGCAGCGGTGAAGAAAGTGTGTCGTCCGTCTCGCATTGAGTGCGAGATGGAAGAAAGGAAGACAAGCATAGGCGGTATGGCGTCACCAATTGTGTGCACGGTGGCCTTGCGGTAGTAGGCTGTGCCTCATGGTAACGAGGCTGTGCCTCTCAGCGCCAGTTGCTCGAGCCCTGGCCTTGCCAGGACTCATAGTCGTCCTCCTCGGCATACTCCGCTGCCGCTTCACCCCAGGACCAGTGTTGCGGCTGAGCGCCCCAATCCCACTCCCAGTCCCACGAAGGCCATTCACGGTGGTCATGGCCATATTCGTGGCGTCTGTCTTGGGAGGATGAAGCGGGCTCCTCCTTGTGGCGCTTGGCTTGAGTGTGATACCACCACTGCTGGTAAGCCCGCTTCTGACGGTCATAGTCAAACGCTCCTGGACGATAAGGGGTGGCAGCGTCATGACCGATGCGAATACCGACATCTGGCCACTGTCGCCTGATCATACGAGAAGCATGCCCTGCTGACCCAGCTGCGTGGTTGTAGTAGGTAATGATTGTATCCCAGTTCTGACACAGGCCTGAACTCAGTATGATGAGTCCACATGCGCTGAAACAAGGCGCTGATGAGGCCGTGAACCTTAGTCGGCGTAGCCATCTCGTAGTAGTCCCGGCCGTGTCCTGTGGCAACCGTGATCTTCCCCTCAGCCGTAAGCACTGGCCTCACCGTCTTCTGTGCACACCTCAGCTTTAGGAAATAAGCGAGGAACATGTCCAAGTGCGTCGATGCGCGACTGCCACAAGGGTCTCTGTTCCTGCGGCGTAAGTCCTCCGATCACTGTGGGAGAGCCCAGCACCTGGAAATTAGCGATCGCCAGAAGCCACCGCTGTAGAACCTGCGATTCGAGCTCCTGCAAGACGTCCGCTCTTGTCAGCTGTGACAGTGGCTTGACAGTAGGAAGGGGATCTTGGGCCACGTAAGACACCATTGCCGAACCCTCGACTGGGGGCTCGAACTGAGGCAGCTTCTCAGATGTAGATGCTGGAGTCGGCAGAGGGGCTTTGGGGGAAGCTGCAGCAGCAGGGGGAGAAGACGTGGGCCTTCGGGGGGAGCGGAGCTAACAGGAACCGCCACAGAATGGGAAGCGGCGGGAGTGGGGGCCGCTTTGGCCTGCAAGGAGGGAGCCGCTGATCCCGAAGCTCCCGCGAAGGGGTCGGCAGGCGGGGTTGGAGGCAAAGCCCGCCCCTTTGGGTTTTGGAGGAAGGCGTGCCAGGCGAGCTTCCGCCACCATTGCAGGGGTGGGAGGGGGATGGAGGGGGAGGCGCTGGGATGGAGGGGTGTTGGCGTACCGGAAGGGCATAGGCACTGCCCGGTGGGTTTTCCGGCTCCACCGGAACGTTGCTGGCATCGTGACGATTATGAGCGAGTACAACCACAACCACAACCACAACAACAACAACAACAACAACAGCAGCAGCAGCAGCAGCAGCAGCAGCAACAACAACAACAACAACAACAACAACAACAACAACCACAACCACAACCAACCACAACAACAACAACA